AGAAGTCCGAAGCATCTGGGTTCTGTTACGCACCACGCCAAGAAGTCCGAAGCATCTGAGTTGAACGAAATCGTGCTGGCCATTTCTGAGTTGCTCAAGTAAGAAAAACATTTCAAGGTTTAGAAATGAAACTTTTGGACAGCGTTTATAAAGTGTTGTGAAATGTTTACAGACAACTGGGGCTGGAAAGAGCAAATACTACGCTGTGGATTATCCATGAAGCCATCTTTAAACTGGTAAGTCTGTTTTACTGTGGGTGTGATTGAGGGATTTTTTTTCCCCTCACTTCTCTGTGGACAAGTTTTGTCTTTTAAAATGTGCGTCTTGGGTTTAGATCATGGCCAAAGTAATGGAGATGTACCAGCCGAGTGCAGTGGTCCTTCAGTGTGGAGCCGATTCACTATTTAAGGTATGAAAAGAAGTGGATTTAAGCCTTTCAGCGGTATTGACTAAAGAGTGAGTGGCACATCAACTGGACAAATCCAGTACAGACAAGTTTGACTACATTTAGAACAACTAGTAGTGTTATTGCATTTACTCTGTCTTTGCAGAAGTGATAGAGGGGGACATTGGGATGAGGACTTTGAATTATTTGCTAGATGGAGTGCTGTTATTAGTTACATGAATGTGAAATTCTTTAGAGTACTAAGTAGTGGCACAAAGCAAATGAGTGGTTTGCGTAAGTTGATTGTAGTAGTTAATTGAAGTGTTTTGTAACATGCTAGTGCTAAACACTTTGAACATGGTGTAGTCATCTGAGAGCAGTTGTATGAATGTTGTCTTTATTTCATCTTGTGTTTCAGGCCAAAAGAAGAGGTTTAATGAAGTTGTTCCACTCCTGATGATGGGACGTGTGTTGCTGTGAGCACGTGGTTGACAGATGTAACTGTTGTGAGTATGTGATCTGTCAAACTTTACCTGAAGTGGTAAAATTTGACTTGTATTGTTTTGCTAATAAGAGTCAAAAGTTGCTGTTCTGTTCATTGTAGAAGTATTCTAGTTGTTTACTACTTAGCTTTAGCTTAACTTTTACTACTTTTTACATAACTAAGTAAATAACTAAAAGAAAATTACTAAAAAATGTTTAGTTATCCTTATCCTTACTCTTGACTTTGATAATGCACGCCCAAAAAGGCAGGAATTGGTTATACACACTGTTGTATTCAACAATTTCCTTTATTCTGGAAGGTTTACAACAGTCACATACAGTTTTCAATAGCATTAAGACACAATTAACTTTTACCTTAAGAAGAAGTCTGTCTGTGTGTCTGTGCGTGCGTGTGAAGACAGACACATTGGGTGTAGGTGACCC